TTGAAGTCTAATACAGTGAAACTTTTTCTTGTTACAATCATTAGGTAGGGTAAGCATAGATTCATACATTCCTCTCCCATAGCCAGTCATAAGTCATAAATGTATGTAAATACGTATTAGTTATAACTTATAAGATTTAACGAATCAAATATATAGCTATTATAAAGGCGCAAATTGTAACCAGTAAGTATATTTATATATAGTTTATATTATTTTCATATAATTTAGAACACTATAAACGATAAATCTAACGTCCTTATAGTCTAGGGTCCGGAAGTTCAAGCACTAAAAACTATTGAAATATACTTTTAAAATCGCTTAAATAATGCTAAATATGCATTAGCCAATAAATTCTTTTTTTGAATTTTATAAAATATTTTTGGTATGAATATCAATTAGTAGAAATGGAAAAAATGGAAAATTGTATTGACATGAACAATTTAGGATTTTTAAGATTTACAGATAAAAACGAACGGCGGTAGGTATCTACAATTATCTAACATTCTATAACCCGAGTACCTAAGTCTCATCAGGACGTTTAAGAATTAAGGATGTCAGAGCTGATGCCTTTAGTAGAAGAAATTTGCCACAATACAGGTAAAACACTATTTTCAGAAGTTGTAATAGACATCAATATATCACACATTTTTTACCAACGTTTATTTTTAAATGTATTTGTATGCCTTTATTTCAAGTTAGTTAGAAAAATCAGAGTTCAATGCCACTTGACTAAAGTTCATCTATTTCAAATAAAAAAAAAAAATTGATCAATATTTGACCATTCTACGAGGGAGGCCTGACCGGTTGATTCTTTTCCCTGTAAATTCATTAAAATCATTTGATTTTGAATTTCCGTACGGCTTGTGGGCTTATTTTATGACCACCGCGCCACGTAACTAGAAAGTACCTTTCGCTTATCAATGAATACCGCCACTCTTATAACTAAAATATTATTGTTTGAGGACGGCTTACCTTTGCATGATTGTTTTATACATTTGACATCTTATTGAACATCTTACCTAGGTATTTATTTTTAGACATAGGTATTTTTTTGAATAAATTATTTTTAACGCGTGTCGCGTAGAATAATACCAGTAAGTAGTATGTATGTACTAGTACGATGTCATTTGTATATAATATTATTTTAATGCTATCTAAAGTTTAAAAAAATTCTTAATTAATATGTAAAAAACAATTTTTTTTAAAAAACTAAGGGGCCATGTCTCATACTTCTTATACTCGCAAACCACCCTAAGTTTTGTCATATGAATAAACATTCAATGAACAATCATAAACCTTGAATGTGTCTTATCCAAAATGCTTAGGTAATAGTAATACTTATTAAATATTTTAATACTCATATCAACTGATTGGTTTTTTTTTAATTATCATTTATTATTTTCTGGCTGTCGGGGAAATGATATAAAACAGTGGGAAATAAATAAATAATACTTGTTCATAATATTGTAGGTGCCCACAGGCTATACAGTAGGTATATTATATATTATGAAAACCTTAAAATATGCAAAATAAACTTTTTAAACCCGTTACGTTTTGATTCAAATGTGTAGGTACCTACCTAAATCCAACAATTTTTCAAACAACCAACTAGCAAGTATCTAAAACTATGCAAATACACGAACCCCTGAGCCCCAGTCTCTTTACAATTATACAGGCCTATGACTTATCCGCGGTGTCATAAATCGCAATGACAAATTACGTGAAATCACGATTCAACAACAGGGGGTGTACGGTTTCATTATGTTTGAGCAACATGCATATAATATAATATAGGTAGGCCCTATATTAGTAGGTACCTACCTATATTATATAGTCACAACTCATTTCTCAAACAAAAACCCCCGCGGCGAAAGCTACAACGAATAATATTGAATGGTATTTCCGCTTATATTGGTTTTTGGTACACCAAGTATAATAAGGTACCTCCCCCCGCTTATAGATTTCCGTTATTTATATTTGTTCATTCTATAAAAGCGTTTAAAACGAGCGAAAGTCGAATTATTAATTATTTAAGACTGAAGGGTTCAAGATGGGAAGTAATTAAATTTTTGACTGATTTGCTCTAATAATTGTTGATTATCAAAAATACGAAAGGTAGGCGTTATATAGGTACCTACTCGGCTACTCATATACATGATAGGTTGTAGGTTATATACCTCTACACTAGTACGAGCGGCACAAATACACAGTAAAATAGTATTTTTCAAACAGCTAGTATAAAATTATAATATATAAGTACTTTTAGACATTCATCAATCATCAGTAATTACAAAACTATAAAATCTTCTATTTTTATTTTTTTTTGACAAATAATTAAAACCGGCAGTTTCGTATTATAACTAAAAATACATTTATAATATAATAATATATAATGCAGAGTTCGCATAGCCGCGTAAAATGATATAATTGTTTAAATTATCTGAATAGTGAATATTATTGTCGACTGTCGAGGTAAAATCTCTTAGAAATTATAAACTTTAACTAAATAAATAGGCATTGTTTTTATTTTGATAAATAAATAGTTTGTAGTAGGTACCTACGAGGTAACCTACATATTATATACAGGCTTAACCGTACACCTCCGTGATTTTTTTAAAAATTATTTAACATTTTTATCTTAGGTAGATTGCAGATTTGTTTTTTTTAATATACATATTTTATTAAAATTTCAATAACAAAAAAAAATTAAATGATTAAATTTTATTTTGATTTACCTACCTACTATGCTTATACTTAGCCATTGTAGTCTACAAGGTAGGTGAGACTGTTTTTCTAACGTAAGCGCAACGTATTTGTATTGTTCCTTAGTACAACTATAGGCTATTAAGTAGGTATGATGCGATTATGCGAACAAGTTAAAATATAATTTATTTTATAGTCAATTAAAAAAGGTATTAGTAATAACCAGGGCTCGGAAGTTGTGGCAAATGCATATTTTTTTTGGTTTGTCCTAGAACACCCAAAGTAAGATACAAATATGTTTCACACTTATCTGATGTCATACACGAAATTTTATTTTGCCATTTTTTGCATATTTATGATTTTTATTGCTATTTTGCCATTTTAAGGTTTTTAGTGCTATTTTTGGGTATATTATCAGATAATTTGGAAAATAACCACATTTAGTTGAAAATAATGATTTTATTTGGTTATATTTTTAAATTTTATTTGGTTATATTTTTTATAATTATATAACAGTATAGAAATTGGCAAATGTAATTACTAATTATTAATAAATAATAACATTTAATTTTTTTTTGTAATGAATAATAATTAATAAAATAATAACATTTAATTTTTTTTTGTAATAAACTTATAATTATAATTTTTTCAAGTTAAATGCATATTTTTTGATTTTTCGTGCTATTTATAGCGCATATTTTAGAGTTTTTTAGTGCTTATTAAGGAGCTAAAAATTACCATTTTTAGTGCCACAACTTCCGAGCCCTGGTAATAACTAATAACACGGAAGTTAAGTACCTACCTAAACATGTTTCTATTTTTAAAAATATCGAACTACTTTATTTAATCTTTGATAAGTAAAACCAGTACCTGCTTATTAATGTAGAGTAGGTACTTACAGCTCGAGTATTGCAAAATAAGGAATAAATATTATACACATTCGAAAATTCGAAAACATTAAAATATTTGACAAATGAAAGATCTTATTTTTTAATCCGAACAAAAAGCTATTTATTTAGCCGTTTGTCCCGTATCTAATAGGTACATGTTAATGGTTCCATATAAGACATATTTGGTGAATCATTATTGGGTAATGGGTATAAATAAATAAAAAGGAGCCAAATGTTTTCGGTCGAAAAGCATCATGTATATTTATTCGATGGATTCTCAATAATAATTAATTTACTAATTAGGTACCGGTAAAAATAAAGCATATGCAATTTCTATGTACTTCGGAAAATTAATAATTGTTCAGCACTAGCTTCAAGATTTTACACATTATAAATTTGTGAACTTAATTTCTTATTTTACTTGTTAGGGTAGGTATACTTTTTTGAAAATAAAACAATTAAATATGTCTCAATAACTAAAGTAAGTTCGCTGAAAAATGCTACGTGTATCACTTCGTTTTTAACTTAATTTCATGTACCATAATTAGTATACCCATAATATATATATTATATATATTGGAAATATAAAAAAACTATGCTTTTAATTTTTACATATATAAACAAATCTGTGGATAAAAATCATAAATAATTCAAATAGTAAATACTTACACATCAGTAGGACACATATTCTTTTCATTTTCGTAGACCGGTGATTTACGAGTTTTTAGGAGAACACCTAAAACATTTTTCAGCACCTTAATAGCAGGCAAGCGTTTCGAAATAAATGAGCGCCTTTGAGCTTAAAATGTGTAAGGGTCTTCTACAACTGGACATAAATGCATAACGCCAGTGTTGCCATTTAACAAGGTACAAAGTACCAACATAGAAGACAAAATCACGCAATACTGTGCACACCACAACTTGTTTTTTTTGTAAGTAAATGTTTTATTTTTTATTTTTAATAATTACAATTTTAACAAAAATGACTACACATATCTCATTTATGTACAAAATATATTTTTGTATTATTGATTAACGTAGTTTGAAGAGGTCATACTTTAAGTTATCATCTTAATAACTTGTGACAACAATTACCAAATATATTAATATTCAAGCAAAATTGTTTTAATATAATATATTAAATAATATTACTTGATTTTTAGGTGTATAATATTAAAAAGAAAAAAATAACATTATGTAAAACACTAGTCGAAATAAACCAATTTATTAATGTCGTTCAAATAATATTTCGTCATCTTCAGAAATATGCCAGTAGTTGAATGTAATCAGTCACAAGTTCTTTAAAGGATAAGAGAATTTCTCTTTTCTTTTCTAAAAATGTATGTGCAAATAAGAATCATGAACAAAACAATTGAAAAAATCAAATCATATTTCCTGTAACAGTTCTTAGAATTGGAATCTAGTCATGGGGACACTTTGATCCCTAAAATCATACTGTTCAATTCCTTGTTCAGTTTCTTGTACAGAAGGTGCAACACGTGGATCATCTTCGTCAGAACCGAAATAACGTTCGATAATTCCAAAAGCTTTCTGATAAATTTCTATGTTTTCATGTGACTGCAGGAATTCTATTTTGTCCAGACCATAGCATTCTTCTAGCAATACAGCATACTGATTAACAGCACCAGTTTGTCTAGCTAATTGTTCACCTAACTTAAGAATGTTTTCTAGACCATTCAAAGCCACCTGAATAATTTTTACATCTGTCACTGTCAGGAGATCACACAATGGAGGAATACATTTCTAAAAAAACAAATATGAAAAATAAACAACAAAATATCAAAACAATTTTTAATAAAAGTACATACTTGCTCGACCAAATGTTGAATTTGTTCTTGCGTTCCTCCTGAAGTAGCATTTGTTATTGCCCATGCAGCTTCTTTTCTTGTCTTAAACTCAGCTGAGGCCATAATATGTATGAGTGCAGGGAATATATTTTCATTCAAAACAGCCTATTAATATACATAATAACATTCATTCTATCAGTATTCAAGTTTTAACTTGTTATTATTAAATGTCTCACTTGTATTTGGTTTTTATTTCCAGCAGTAATATTAGAAATTGTCCAACAGGCCTCTTTACGGATAGTTTCTTTTGGTGATCCCAACAAGCTAAGTAAGCAAGGTAAGACCGAACAATTTAGAACGACTTGTGTTTGAACATCATCACCAGTTACTATATTACCAACGGCTCGCAGAGCAGCAGAGACCACATTGTTTTGTGTGTGCCTTTAAATAACAGAGTTAGGTATGAAATTTAATTATAAATCAATTTTTGTTTATAAATTAGACTTACATCAGTAATTCAACCAAAGTTGGACAAACTTTAGCATCAATCACTGCTTGAATTTTTTCATTTGGACCATCTGATAAATATGACAGAGCCCAACAAGTATCTGCCAGTACATCTGGATCATTATGACTCAACAAATCTGATAAAACTGGTAGAGCTGGTGAAACCATGGTGAAATCAGGAGGGGGCACTTTTCCACGACACAAATTAGATACCGCCCATACAGAATTACGAGTCATTGAAAGACGTGAGCAACTATTTAGTAGTCTAATAAAAAAAAAAAAATATATATAAATATAATTAGTTGTAGAACATAATAAATATTCAAAAAAGACACTATAACAGCACAAGTTGCCTTCAACTTCAAACATACCAGATTTGTATTCAATATAACCCCAATTTTGTGTTGTTAGCTTTAATATTATAGAGAATTAAACTATATTATTTAACTATTAAAGTAAAAATATTATCTAGATTGTAGAACATCTCATAGGTTTATTCTTATATTTAAATAATTAACAGTCTTAACTCACTTTAAAATTAAAATGTCAATAAAGGTCAAGGAAATACTATAGATAATATTCTTACCTATAAGTTTGATGATAAATCAGTTTTATTCACTTCTATAATAAATAGCTAACAATACAAAATTGGTTTTACCACTGAGTATATAATGTATAGAGAAACAATGTATTATAAAATATGTCTTATGTTCCCGGGGAGGCAGCTAAAGATGACCAATGAAAAAATTTGCGAAATCAGTGTAGTAAGTAATTCTACTTATTAATCATTATTGTATACAACTGCCATTGTCGAATTAATCACTATAATAATTACCTATAATCTAGCATGTACAACATAGTAGTAAAATTAACTATTATAATGTTATTATTATGCCAAACAATAAACTATGAGTAATAATATTATATTACTTTATTACATCTATTAAAAAATAAAATAATATTGTTAGTGACTGGTAGTGAGTTAGTTCTGTTGTCAGCGACAATAACCTAATATTTAGCAAGGAATGCAATTTGACTGCATTATGTTTGTAAGATGGGGACCATACATGCGGATAGTGATATATTTTCTTTAGAAATTACTAAATAACAGTAGTCGGTAATTAATAAATATATGTACATGTAAAATTAGATTAGGTAAATACATTTTTAATTCAGTATTGATAAATTTGTATATTTAGAGTTATTACTTTAGTAATGGCTTCATTATGCCCATGTTCAAAACGTAATCACGACACATAGGAGAATCTCCAGCAATATTTCCTAGAGCCCAAACCGCTTGTTCTTGTACATCTTCATGTGGTGATTCGAGCAAATATATGAATACCGGTACGGCATCAGCTTCCATTACCTTTCGTGTCTGTTCTGATGTTCCAGAAGCAATATTTGTCAAGGCCCATGCAGCTTCAAACTAAGAAAATTACATGTATAAGAACACTCCTATCATAGTGACAGAGTTTATACTAGTAGCTATTTAATTATTAAAAAAAATAACTAGGAAGTGCCTAATTAATAGAATTATTAAATAGAAATTTTATTACCTGTAGATGGCTATTAGTAGTATTTTTCAAAAATTCAACAAATCGTGGAATAACACCTGTACTAATAACAGCATCAATAGGAGGATTAGGTTCAGATGACAATAACTTCCTAAACTTTTGTGTTGCTTTTAACTGATCTTCTTCATTAATGCTATACAAATGTTTAAGCAGTTCTTCATTTATGTTGGACCAATCAGTCACAGTACTAGGTAAAGCCACCTATAAACATATGTATTTTAAAATGTTAGTATTACATTTTTAATAAGTAAATCAATGTTAATTAAAAACAACAAAATCACTGAAGATTATTATTGCGCTTCATTAGTTCTTACTAAGACATATTTAATATTTGTTATATCAAGAATTCTAATTAGGTTCTAGGTTTTGATAGTATTATTATCAACAAATTTGGACATTGTATTGAAGTAAAAGGTATGTTTAAAAATAATATTGAACCAAATATCAAAGTTAAAGAGATAAAAGTATTATTAAGGTTTCGTTTATTTTACATTAATTGAATACAATAACTAAGAGGCACCTATATAATTCACAAACTCGAGTAAAAGTATAAGCCATTTTATAATAAACGTATAAATAAAAATGTTTTATATGAATTGGTTTTTGATAATACAGACTATATTTAATAGTTAAAATATAAGGTAGTTTACGGCCTACAAAATTACAGACACGATCAATCGATGGATTGAATTATAGAATTAACGAACACCGACATCGGCAGGGTTTTAATCGAACAGCGGATCACACTTACGTCAGGGTCATCGTTCTGAATAGTATCGTTGATGTTGCGCCTTTTGAACAGCTGAATGTCTCGTTTCTGCTTGCGCAACTGTATGCCTTCTTCTTCTCGCCTGCGACGCAACTCTTTGGAGTCAACGCCTTCGTTTTTGTACCGCATTCGGTGCGTGTTGGACATCGTGATGGCTATCGGTTACGGCGCCTCTGCAAAGAACGGACAAACAACGATCGCATCAATATTTAACGTACAAGATAAAAAATGTCTGTGATATCACGGGACAAAAAAATACCGAGCCAGGCACACACGACATTTAAGGTTAAGTACGGATTATTAACATGCGTACGACTGTACCATAATATTATCTGGGTAGCTGATGGCCGTTGGGCGGCGGACAACGTACTTACGATTAAACTGCACTGCGTGCGGACGGCGAACTGTTTTGGTGGTGGAGGCGATGATGTAGCCGAGCACGGGAAAAAAAAAACGGATTATATTCGACTGGTTTCCGCCGAGATCGGCGCGGAGAACATGCAAGAATATCGCACTAGTGCGTAATCATAATATCACATCCGAGTAAATAAATAAAAAACATAAACGGGCGCTGAGGACGGCAGACGGTGGGCGGTCGGTGGTCGCGGGACCGAAAGTGCGCGCCAAGACCTTGGAAGAACGGTTAAACAGCTGTTGCGGCGGAGCAACAACAAAGGAATTCGGTTTTTACATCGTCTTTGAGACCGGGTCGATCGGCCGCGGTGGTGGCGGCGGCGGCGCCAATCGAACAATACGAGAATCCGGCACGGATTAATTTTATAAATGAAAATAAAAACATATTTTATCCCGTGATTTGAGCCTCTCTAACCACTGATCAAAGTATAATTACTATAATTTATTGATCTAACTACTGCTCTACTAACTAATAACTATGGACTAGGAACTAACCATCTATAGTTGTAGTCTAGAATGCCAATAATCGCGAATCGCTTTTTGAATTTTGCACTTGGTTTGTCGGTGGTCCGCTCGTTTGATTGGTTGTCTAGTTGTCGACCACCGACTCACTCGTCCGTTCGCCTTTCATCGCAAGAACTGATTTTGTTTCAAACCTTGAACGAACATTTTATAAGCAATTACGACTGTCGTACTAATGTAACTATATTCAGGAATGTACATTTGAATGACATTTCCTAATGGAGATATAACATTAATTGATATTATGATACGTATATTTTCAATATTTGTATGTAATTTTCGGAATTTCGAGTGTAATAATTATTATAATATATTTTATGAGTCAATGGCTATCAATTATTATTTATTGAATTGATTGCCATTTTATATTGATTTGTTTTGTTGTGGACATTTTCCCCCCATTTTCGTTTAAAGTTAATTATTGAATAATAATATTGAATTTAATAATATAATATACCTAGGTAATTTTTTATTTAATATGACATTTTTTTTAAAAATAAAATATAAAATAGTTTTTATTTTCATAAATATAATAGTTTATAAATGTATAATATGTTTGATACTTTGATCAACTGAACTACTTACTTGGAAACAATAAAAATTAAAAAAAAAAAATAAGCAGTTATAAAGTAAAATATAATTAATAAACATGGTTAAAAATTCCGACATAAAAATGATACATTTTGTAAAAAAAAAACATTTGAATTCTGATTCTTTTGTCATTTCTTGACTTATATTTTTTAGCCTTTGTTTATATATTTTTTTTTTTTTTTGTTAAGACTACCAGTTTGAATATTTAGTAATTTAATAATTGCATGTGAATTTGATTCAAGTAGTTCAGTTGATCAAAAATATACATCTATAATTTATTATTATTTATGAAAATATTAGACAATACTACAATAGGCATAAATTAGTTTCATATTAAATAACAATATTATATTATTAAAAAGAAAACTTTAAAAATTGGGGGAAAATGTCCTACTACACCAAAAATATCCGGGGGGGGGGGAATGTCCAGGATTCCCTAAACAATAACTTATTAGTTATTACTTATAATCTATGGGGGTCGGTGAGTAACAAGTTTATTATGTATTGTTTCTTTTTTCTACATTGTAGTAGGAATTAAGTTAGTACGTACATTGCCTATATGTAAGTATTATGGGGTAATTGGTAAAAAACGACAAAAATATAATTTTAAAGGTAAACAAGACCAGCAGTTGTACCTAATACATTTCATCATATTTACATCGTATTACAAATTACAATAATATTAACTTAACTATTTTTTAAAAAACTTTTTTATGAATGGACAGTTTTTATACGTTTCTTGGTCTGAAAGAGATTGATTGTAACGTCGTTCCTTTGTTCTTAAAAACTTAGCCACTGCAGGTCTCTATTTTAATGCACAAATTTGAATTTTACGTTTATTGGTATAAATGTTATAACTTATAACTAATAACAATATTATTATAACTTATTTTCTTTAGAGGGTATCCACACTGGTGGACCTCCCTCCTCACCCCATTCATGTTATGTACCATCAAGTTTTTTTTTCTATCAAATAAAAACAAAAAAAAATTTATTTTCTCATATTATACAATAATAAATGTTTTTTGTATATTTTAGTCATCATTAACTAACTTAGTTAACCCTGAAATCGATAATATCACCAATATTATATGTACTTACCCACAAATGTAATGTAATCATTCTCTAATTATATTTTTTTTCCAAAGAATAAAAATTCTTCTTTTATAAATTGTGTCGTCCAGTCTTTAAAAATACAGTCAGCTAGGTGACAAAATATTTTCACTGAGTGATATTTGTGCCACCCAGTTTACCAGTTTAAAAAATTCACTGTGTATAGGTACAAGTCTATTTTGAAAATATGAGTGTTTAAACAAATATTCTGATGTCAGCATATTTTTATGACAGTTTAATATATCAGCAAGATTAATAAAAATTGTTTTTACATTTTCAGTTACTTATATATTTAAATAAATGTTTGTACACAATTTAATAGTAAAAAAGGTGGGCAAGTGGGTGTCGCTCTGCTGTACAGTAGGTTACAAGTGGGTCACTGTATAATGGATGGTATTAAATTTGAATTCAATGATATAATATCATTGTATAAGAAAAACGATTCTGAGCGGAGACGGTATGTCCTTCTAGGTATAAGACATATTATATACATATTTATGGTATTAAACAAAAAATTGACCTATAATAGGTACCTATAATAAATTCCAAATTAATCATATCACAATATCCATTAGATACTTATAACGCGTTATACATCAACAAAAACCGTGATACTATCATAGATATATAAAAGTACACTTTAGAAGTTTCAAGTACCCACGAATAATATTATTCAATCACAACAAAATAACTAAAATAGTTATTCTAGGGTTTTTAATATGTAATTTCGTCCAAATTTGAATTTAAAATGTCTGTAAAAAATAAGTGTGTTCATATATTTTTTAGATTTTTTTGTTATAGTATGAACTATTTATGAGAACCTTTGTGTTGAATTTGTAATCCTTAGCTATAAAAACTGAACATTTTATAATTTATTAATTACAATGATTGATAATTTTCGAGATTTTGATAAATTTTGTCAAAATTTGATCTTTAAATGCTTATAAAAAAAAACTGTGCCTATGTATTTTTAATATTTTTCAACTGATATTGTAACAATATATCAGGAGCCTTGTATTAAATTTTTACACTTTTTGGCCCAACAGATAAAACTTTATTGATATTTATAGAATAAAAAACTAAAAAAAATTGAAAGATGTAAAGGTCCATAAACAGCTCAAAAAGAGTCAAAATATTTTCAAAATTGTATGGTGTATAGGAAATGCTAATATAAACATTCAGTGAAATTTTCATGTATCTACAGTTATTTGTTTTTGAATTACAACAAAATAAGGAAATCGCTACATGGGAAATCGAGTGAATATTCAATGTTGTAAAAATTTGAATTTCAAACGCTCATAAAAATTTAATTTGACTTTCTTATAGACATTTTTCTTTCGATTAAGGTAGACAAACTTATAAGGAATCTTGTGTTTAATTTTCAAATCTTAGATTTAAAAAGAAAAATTTTTACGAATTCTTAACTCAAAATAATTTGCTAATTTTCGTGATTTTCCCATATTTTGTCAATTTTTGAACTTTAAATGCTTATAAAAAAAATATGTGACTAAGGATTTTTAATATTTTTCATCTGCCTTTGAAACAATATATTAGGAGCCTTCTATTAAATTTTCAAGCTTTCGCAACCAACAAATAAAATTTTATTGATATTTTTAGAAAAAAAACTAAAAAAAAATGGAAAATGAAAATGTCCCTAAACAGTTCAAAATAAATCAAAATATTTTGAAAATGTTATCGGGTATAGAAAATGCTAATATAAACAACCAGTGAAAATTTCATGTATATACGTTCATTTGTTTCAGAGTTACACCAAAAACCAAAATCGATTTTTTTTAAAACCAATTTTGCGTAAAAATTCCCGTTTTTCCTTAATTTTTATGTTGTTTTTCCCGGCGCTTGTGAAAACTACTGGGAAATTTATACTTTTGACCCCCCAAAGTACCAACTAGATTCACTTTCCTATCAGAAAAGCTACTGATGAAGAAAATCCAAGCACTTTTACTGTCCTAAAACGTGATGACAGACACAAAAAAAAATAAAAAAATAAAAAAAATAAAAAAAAAAAATAAAAAAACACACATCATTGTAAAATCAATACATTCATCGTTTCACTCAGAATCTAAAAATTAATATGATTTAACTTTGAAGATGATTTGTGGTTGCAAATTGGATCTAGCCGATACTATCGGCAACTTTAGGAAAAAAAAACACAAAGACATACAAAACATTCTAAAACCAATACATACATACATGGATCTCTTCACCAGTGGTGCAACTGGCCCAAACATTTTTTTTATTGGTGGGAGGAGGGCTAAAGTTTCACAATAAATTTTCAAAAAAAGTAATCTACTGGAGCTATAATAAAGCCCCCCTTTATTAGGGCAACCTCTTTATTATTGCCTATTTTTACTCTAGTTTCCTTTTTGTTTTGTTATTACTAATGAGAGTATTTATGACTTCATGACTTGTCTTAGTCATGCTTAACAAATTTAAAGTGAGATGTATTATTCTTTAAAAAGTTTTTAAAGAAGGTATATTATAGGTAATAGGAACATAATATACTTTTAACTAAGACAAATATGGTCTGTAAGTTATCTGCGATGGTCAAACATAAAACTTGACAACAAAATATATGTACACTTTACAAAACACTTTATTGATAGTTCTTAAAATTACAAAATATCTACTATCTTATGAGGACGACAATAGTTTTGAATATGTGCGTGTCACGTACAATATTTTTTTCGACAATATGCTAAATGCTTAATTACCATTTATTTATTTTTAATTGATATTATATGAGTTTGAAGATTGATTAATCTTGAGGAGGCGATGAGTAGCTTATAATATTTTGTCATTATTATTATCTATTATTTGTAGACCTTAATACTAAATTTGTATTAACATTATGAATTGTTATTTCATTGTTGTTAAAAACACTACTAATGAAAGTAGGTAATCATTTATTTTTAATCATAGTGATAAATTAAGATTATGTAATATAATAATTAAATTAAATTACTTTATCTAATAATAATAAAAACAATTTTGTTTATTAAATGTTACATTGTATATTTTATTATTTGTATTATACCTAATTCATAAGCTATAAAAAAATTATAAGACACTAAATTGTATGATATTGAAACTCCGTGGTAATCAAATATTTGTTCATTATGCATAATACACTTTATTTGATGCACATAACTTTTTATAAAGAAATTATCCAGGAATATTATATAAAATTATGTTGAGTATTGAAGTTCAAAATTAGAAATGGTATGATTAAAAACATAATTTATATTATAGTATATAAAGAGATTGTAAAAAACATAATAATATTATGATATAGATAATGAATAATAATACACATAAAGTTATATTATGCATAAATAAGTTATAACTAATATAATGTCAGACAATTACCTTATGGCAAAATTGAATTAATTTAAATAACAAATCATTATGTAAATATCCGGAAAAAAAAATCGGAATTCATGTATAAATAATATATTTATTAATTTTGAATAATATGAATATTATAAAATGGGATTAATTCTTATCATAATTCTGGTATTACCAGCTATAAAAACAAGGAAAAATAAAACAGAAATAATAACAAAATAGGTATTGATAAAATAAAATCAGCCCTCTATATGAAATTGGAATTAAATTTCTACAAAGAACTTAGGAGTTTATTTAAACTAAGAAATCACCAATAAGACGAATTTCTACTTTTTATTCGCTTTAACGGCTTCGTCATTGTGATTCAAGTATGCAACACCGCAGCCAGTCAGTGCGAATCCTGAAATTAGACCAGTAACAGTTGCCAGACCAGAGTTGTTCGGCAATAAACTGCGTAAAATAGCCCACGATAATACTGATCCCATGTTGAACAAAATTGAGCCGTACACGCTAAACATACAAAGATATTTATTATTAACAAAGGTGATGAGCTGTTGCCAGGCTTCAATGAACAGTTTTTTACCTGTATGCTACGCGCAGTTTGAGAGGCGCTTCACTGAGATGTGGGCGTCCGGCGATGAATAGAAACGACCCGAGGCAAGAGTTGAACAGAAATATATTCGTGAGGTCTGGCTTGGGCAGGACTCTAAACAATAACGGAATACCGACGATTAGCAGCCCCATCGGATGATGTGATGTATATTTTTTTTTTTGAAATCGACCAATTACCTTTGCAAAATCCCGGGGTTCATCACGTTGATGGATAACAATGCATAATTAAATGTGCCGAACGCCGGGGCGTAGTAGTTTATTGCAGAGTCTTTATTTATCGGAGGAGGTCTGTATTTCGCGATCGCTTTCGCCAAAGGAGTCTCGTCGCTCGCCATTACAATGTATAGAATTAACAACTAACGAAGTACACACACAACAAAAAAAAACTATCAATTGACGAAACGGAATATTTTCTTCGAGCAAAATATATCAATATAAATATTTAAATTTTGTATTTACCGAAATCGAAGAACGTAAAAAATATAGGTATCAGTCAATTAGTAAGTTATAATGTTATATTACTATTTGTGTGGAACTGTGGTCACTGGTCCGTGGACTGTGGTGTGGACCAACTTGAAAAATATTCATATTCTTATCAGTGTCTACTTAATATCACAGAACAATAATAATAATTGTTTGTCGGTGTTGTCGTTAAGGGCTTTTGTGTAATAAAATCATTTTTCGTACGTTGGTACTCAGCACAAAAATGCGCGAATCTTTTTTTCAAAGTATGGTACGTACAAAGGTTACAATAATAATTCACGTTTGTATTTACTAGAATAGATCGTTTAACATTTTTCCGATGAAAACAAAAACTCTCAATTGACGAAACGGAATATTTTCTTCGCGCAAAAAATATCAGTATAAATATTTAAATTTTGTATTTACCGAAATCGAAGAACGTAAAAAATATTTCAGTCCATTAGTTTTATTACTATTTGTGTGAAACCGTGAACTGTGGTCACTGGTCCGTGGACTGTGGTGTGGAACAACTTAAAAAATATTCATATTCTTATCAGAGTGTCTACTTAATATCACAGAACAATAATAATAATTGTTTGTCGGTGTTGTCGTTAAGGGCTTTTGTATAATAAAATCATTTTTCGTACGTTGGCACTCTGCACAAAAATGCGCGAATTTTTTTTTCAAAGTATGGTACGTACAAAGGTTACAATAATAATTAACGTTTGTATTAGAATAGATCGTTTAACATTTTTCCGATGAAAACAAAAACTCTCAATACAAACCGGACGCCGCTGCAACTTCTTTCCAGACATCCCACGCCTCCTTTGTATTTATTGTATTGATATTGTTGTTGTTCGTTGTTTATATAATATTGTACTTATAAGATCATAAATCATTGGTAAAATCTAGAGTATAAATGTGAATATGTCGGTATTTCCGAATTGCGGACAAAGTGACAAAAACCATGTGAGTTGCGGACCAAATCTAAAAAGGTAACATACGAATTGCGAACACAATTAATATAAGATACTAATTGTGGATAATGTTACAATATTCACGTGGTGAAATCAGTAGAATATCATATATACAGGCTGTTTTAAAAACTATGACGATAATCTATAAATATTTTATAAGCAATTTTTTCCACAAAATTAAAACAATCTATTATCTATAATTCAACAACATTTTAAAAACCAATAACGATTGTTCTTTTGCAAGACACAAATATTTTTAACCCACCTACCAATTTTTTTTTTTAGCTATTGTCATAAGTCCTAAAGTTTTAATTAATAAAAATGTTTTGGCGAATAATGAAAATGCTTAATGTATAATAAGTGTGGATGTGAGATAAATTTGTTCATACATTATAGGATGAGGGCATTTCTTTTAAATTTTTTTTTTTTTAATTTCGCCTGTAGACCGCGTACTATATTACAGCTGTTTTAGTACCCACGATTAATATTTTTAAATTGCTACAAAATAACTTAGAATTCTATAAAAAATAATTATTCTTGGTTATTCAATATTTAATATCTCGTATAAATTGGAACTCAAAACAATTATAAAAAAAACTGTGATTAATAGACCTGTGGGCTGTGACTTAATCCCAAAATCGCATTTTTGGAGTTAGGACAATATTGCGAATTAGGCTGATGATATGTATATTAATTCTAATAAATATTATTGTATACAAAACATTAGGGTGTACAATTATACGCCATCGAGTCCAACACTAGAACTAGGATCATCTATAGGTATAGTATTACAGTATAATATACCGACTCTATGTGTGGAGTGTGCGAATAACACCTGGCGCGTCTTTTGAGTACCACTCACGATTTTTAACAGTACCTATTAATGTTTATCTACCACTGAAGCTCAAACTTACGGCTCGGGGTTTGCCGCAGAGACGTCTACATGGTTGCACGTTTATTTCAGTGTGTATTCGGCTATTTCCATATCACGGTGCAGAACAAAATAATAACATTATCCGAAGGCATATAACACCGAGCTGTTTGCGAATAGGTAAATACTATAATATAATTCGTAACTAGTCGAAACGGAGAGGCTTGGACTTATAATATATCGCTCATATTATATTATGCGCACCCGTTACATAGCTCGATTTTGGGGTGGTTAAACGGAAGGTGAAGTAAATCATTTGTCAACCACTCTAGTATAGATAATTTTTTAATTTTGTTACTATCATGAAAATCGATGACATCCATGACAATACAATATCCACCTGCGTGATCATATAGGATTATTACATATATTTATGCAAAGCGAATGAGGTAGATATAATAGATAGGTATTAATACATAGTACATACTTTATAATAATACGTATAACATGAGTAACATAATAATATTAATTTAATTAATACAGAACAAAACAGGTGGCGAAGAGCCGACGATGGTACATTGCATGAAATAAGTGAGGCAAACTTACACTAACTTGGTACAAACGAGAATGGAGGACACGATAAACGGTTTCAGAATAGTACCAGCGAACCAGGAGTGAGATAACGGCGGGAGAGGAGGGGATGTTTAAAAACCTTTTAAACTCTATAATATACGTCATATTACTGGTCTATCATAGTATCATGTCAATAGAACCACAACAACAAAGGAACCGCCTGACAAATTTCTTCGTCTGGCGCCAAAATGAACGACGAGAACGTGTGTGTCTCGGACTTTCCAGTTTCCGTACATCGCTGGTGACCTGCTGAAACTTTAGATTTGGCGTTGATCGCCACCCAATATCTGCAACTGTCTCGCCAGCTAATTTTGAATGTATGGGGATGTTTGGCTCAGATACACAGAGCCTGCCCTCTAGAAAACCTTTGGAATCAAAATTTTTCGAAGATTCCGGTTTCCGTACATCGCTGGTGACCTGCTGAAACTTTAGATTTGGCGTTGATCGCCACCCAATATCTGCAGCTGGTCTCGCCAGCTAATTTTGGATGTATGGGGATGTTCGGCTCAGATACACAGAGCCTGCCGTCCAGAAAACCCTTGGAATCACAATTTTTCGACGGCTCCGGTCTTCGTATATCATTACGAAGGTTAGGTTAGGTTAGGTTAGAACGGTTAAACTTCAGACTTGGCGTTGATCGCCATCCAATATCTGTCGATTTGGCTGAGGAATTTTCACACATCGCAGCCATGTTAGGCATAGATACACATCTATATGACATATTTATTTGATAATATTCTATAGGCACAATTAATGGAGAAGATTATACAGAAATACGTAGGAATGAAATTTATCCGTAATGAACACAAGAAATGAATATTGACAAGTGGTAACTATGTGACACAGATATGAATTGTAGATTTTTGAAAGTTTGAAACATTCACGTACATGGCAACGATATTTTTGTTGTTTGTGTAAATCTGAAAGTATCTAGATTTTTAACATAATATGATTATAATAATATAATATAATATAATATATTATAATATAATTATTTATTAAAATTTTGTTTTTTAGTTATACTGATCAAAAATACAAAACTAAAAGTTCTTGTATTGTTTGAATAAAATCTATGATTTGTAAATTTGGGAAATAATACTAGATAATGACCAAAGAAAATTAGAAAATACAAATCTAAATTTTCCGGTTCGTGCACCTTTTATTCGACGAAGTTATAGATTTCGATACAAATCAAATTTGGGTCACAATCCATGTAATTATCCAAGACATTAAAATGATCGTTTTGCAGATCATATAATTTCCGATTAAATATCTGGATTGATAAAATAGGTATAAGTACCATACAACTATTAAATATTACCATACGTGATAACTGATAAGTAGTGCTGAGGACTTCTAGTTTTTTCATATTTGTCTAGAAAAGTCGCAGAATAATGTGAGTGATGTATAAATATTATGTTTCATAATAAGTACTAGTAAGCTACACTAAAAAATGTATTTTACTAATTTTTGCATATTTTGTCGATATTGCATTTAAATGCATATTTGAGCATATAAGAAAAAAATAAAAATAAGAACATATTTTTCCAGTTTTCGATCTAATATTTTAATATAATATACGTAACAAAATATAATAAAAATAAATAAATAATTTTTAACTTCACATTTAAAAAGTTACTTCTTATTCGTCCATTATTATTTAAAACTAAAGGTACCACAAGCTTGTTACATTATAATTTTACATTTTTCGCATATGATCAAATGCGCGTGATAATAACGTTTCATACAATTCCCGATAGGTCCTGTTATAAAATATATTATAAATTTATAGCCAGTCACTTTAACCAATAAACAATTGATCAATAAATAAGTTTTTAATTTTCAAGCATTTTAGTGTGTAGATTGCTTATGTTAATGGAATAAGATCGAACAACAATATTTTCATGTCTGAAGATAGGCAAATTTGAATACAAGCGCAATTGGTATAGATATTGACTGATATAATTGACTAACTATATATTATATTATATTATATATTATACAGCAATAACTGACAGCAGCAATAACAAACATTTTGTTTATGGCAAAATAATTGGTCCATGCCTATTTTTTATATTCACCGTCAATTAACTTAAGAACTCTGCTTAAAGAAGTGGTGGTTTGACCATAAAGCCAGAAGACACTGAAAGAATTCGGTTTAACGGATTTAAACTATAAAACTGATTTTAATTGATTAACATTTTTACCAGGATATTATTATAGAGACGATTTTGAACATCTATTCTTTCAACTGTGATATCTATAATCTATGAATAAAAATATGATATTTTTAAATTATATTATTCATCGTGGACTAACAATATTAAAAATATTAAAAAACGCCACAACTCAAACCTAGTAAACTTATAATTCAAACATAATCGGTTTTCAA